TTATGTCACAGGGTGATGGGCGCAGTGGCAGTGCCCCTCAGATCTTTGCGATTTAAAACTCTTGGTGCAACTGTTATGGACACGCGTGTAGCTCAGATCAGGCGCACGACTTGTTCGTCCTGCCACTTGATATTATAAAAAAAGACTATTTGGAAGTTCATTTTCAAATTGAAAAAAATTTGTAAATAATGGAAGAAGATATAAGAGAGAGCTTTTCAAAAAGATACTATGGTTACATCAACGACCACGATAACCTAGCGGTTAGCACTTTGGGTGTTAGTTGAGTACTTGGTTGTAGAACCGATTTAGAAAATGATTATGTTTAGAAATTCCCGGACCTGGAGAAATAATTGTATGGCCTACATTTATTTCTCTCGTGAGTTTGAGTGTAATTTGTGATTGTTTATTTGTGTGTCCATGGCACCCGTGACACAAGGTTTCCCCAGTGCGGGGCTATGTTGAGTGTGTGCGTTATTTATTTTATTATTTTAGTTCGTTCTTTTTTTAATTCAGGGAATTTCTCGGTTTGGTACCAGGGGGCCAATCGCGCTAATTGTCAAAGGTTTAACCAAAACCTCCAACCTCGCCAATCTGACACGTTGTGTACATTTCGTATCGCGCTAACTGTCAAAACAAAAACCTAAGCCAAAACTTAGACGTGTGACACGTAACGCACATTTGGTATCGCGCTAATTGTCAAACGTAAAACCAAAACCTAAAATGTTGCAAATTGGTATCGCGCTAAATATTTTGACATTTTAACCTCACATGTAACCTTGGGGGAATAGATTAACCTTTGCAAGGTCAAGGTTTGTGTGGCAGTTAATGGAGAGTAACTTTTCACTACGTTTATCGTATATAAAAGATGTTCCACGGTTACTTAAATGTTTTGGAAAGTGTTTATGAGGTGGATGTGGCCTAAGAACGGGCTTTAAATAAAAGAAAAGCATAGAAAGACGATCACATTTAACATGTCTGAGGAGAAATTCCGCAAACGATATACCGTTTGTCCACGGAATTCATTTCAGGATTGGTGGAAGAACTATGCCTACATATTCTCGTTAAAGGACGGTCTGTTGCATTGGATGTGGAGACAAAGGTAAGGGTTGAGTGGAATCCGAAAGTTCTCAGTTTTGCATAATAACCAAAATTTCTATACTGTGTAAATCATTATTAATTTTGTTACAGATTTTAATAGCTCGTATAGTTTTTAACAACTGGGGCGTACCAGACCCCCATTGGCAAGTGCTTATCACCCTTTCCCAAGTCAGTGTCAGAGAGGCACAAGCGGTAGCTGCTTCAAATAAACCAGTTATTATGAATAAATATGCAGCTTTCCTAAAAGGCATGCCGAAAGAGATGGTATTAAAAGGCGGTGAGAAAATAAGCTTTACAATGTACATCATATTTATTAGTTCTTGTCTTATTTCCTGTTGTTATTATCAAATTAAAATTACAGGTATAGGTAAAATATGTATAGTTGTATAAAAATATATTACAAGGTTACAATTAGTCTCTTTTAACACTTGACTTTATACAACATATCGTCCCCTTACTGTGAAGCCTCACATATGCATTTTCAGTTTGTTTTTACTGATTTTTGTTGAATAAAAATTAATAATGTAATAATATAGTATCTAAAAGAGGTATAATTTAAGTAATTAAAATGCTAACTACACACATTATTGCATTTACTATACTTCACACCATATTTTTATCTTCATCCTAAAAAATTACATAGAAATATGAGGTATTCATTCTAAGATGACGATGTATACCTATTGTAATTGTTTATTATCTTAATATCTAAATTGATGTATACTTTTAAGAGGTTGAAATAAAAAAAAGAGTGTATTTTTAGTTTATTTATTGCCTCAATCTACCCCAAATCATCCTTCATTTCCGGAGCGAGCTTGCTTTTGATTCTTCAAAGAAGTCTGAAACAAGAATATGTATATAGGAAGATTGGAGACCTAAATTTAAGACTGTGCCATACCTCTCATGAGAGTAGTGACAGATAAAGCAGGATGGGTATTTATATACATACAGTATGAAGCCAACATAAACGCCAGAATGTTTAGGGGCCTTTTCAAAATACATTTAAAAAAATGTTTATATCACTGTGGAAATATAAAGGGGACAAAAGTCTACAGATTAGACCTTCGTTCCTTACGCTCTTTCAGATTTCCACAATTGAACATATCATCAGCAGGAATTAAGAAAACATGTTGAAAACAAACCTGTCATTCTTGTTAAATAGTCTATCAAAAAGGTTAACTGCAGGCACCAACTCGGTAATTGCTTTGCAAATGGCAGCTACGGATTGGGCATGCAGATCATCTGCTTTGGCAGAAATAATAGCTGCCTCAGCCTGCACCCTGCCAGCATTCACTTGCTGCAAAAATGCTTCGCATGCTCGCTGCTCCTCAATGCATAAGAATTCTACCCGGCTCTGCTCCAACGCTCATCAGCTCGCTGTCAACGAAATAATAGATGTGATGGAATAAAGAGTGGGAAAGAATTTGCTCAAATTGAAAGTTACTTTGTTTTTTAATTAATAATAAAGAGTGAGAAAGTTACTTTGTTATTGAATTGTATGTTTGAAGTTATTTTGTGCTAGAGTTGGTGTCCTTTAGGAAGGTTGGTAGGGCCTCTGCCGCAGTCGATGTGGCGTAGATTCTCACCCTGCTTTTCATACCATTCCATACCTGAATAACAATAATAACATCGCATATTATAGTGATATGAGTTCTGGTACAATAACGGTGAGTGATCCACTCACTGTATCCTATTACCTCGCATTATAGCTCACCTTTTGGGATCTATTGCGGGGCCACAAAATAGCCACACACTCGCACCAAAGGCGTGCTGATAACACGCGCGAACAACGCCGAGCGAAGTCATTCTCAACCCAAATCTCTGTGCGATTCGAACTCCAGCAAAGATGGAGCTGGCTTACAGTGGTCGCTCGCCGTCCGACCGCATCCACACTGGCTGAAATACGAGCATCATTATTAATTCTACATTGCTAACATTTCGAAATTAATAGTAGTTAGCGTACCTATTTGATTGTATAAAAAGATACTATTTTATTAAATAGAATATTAAAAAAGGAAAACAATGTGTAGGTACTTGCCTCTGCGTGTTTTATCTACAACAACAACACACTAAATTCAATTAATTTGGTTCAAATCACAACACATATGTTTGTTTACAATAGAATTTAATGACATTTCTTTTACACACTTTTTTAAATCGCTCTTTTATAGACTTGAATTCGTAGATATTGACATTTCAGTGCGTTTTACGGTAAAATTTAGTCGGTTTTAGGAAGTCAAGGCACGTCTCTTAAAATTTAATACGAGGTTATAGTTTGAGGTTAATTTGAGGTTTAGGTTCATTAAAACTGATAGCGCGATTGCATTTTGTGCGTCGGTAGAACCATTAATTAACCAAAACCATAACCTCAAATGTTGTAAGGTTAAACCTTGCGAAAATAGCGCGATTGGCCCCCAGGTAATCGGTATGATTGTTTGGTACATTATTATTATTGTATTCTATAACATAACAATTGCTACTTAGGAATAAGGCCGCCTGTTGTACATTGGCTTACTCTATGATACATTACTGTTCTGTGTTGTCATTGTAATTGTTTTAATGAGCAATAATAGTTATTTGTTATGCAAGGC